ATTAAGAACTGTATGAGGGACCTGTATATGATAATATATAGTTACATATATCCAATATATTAAATATAGCCAAAACATACCAAATTATTATGTGTGCCATATACATTGCAACTAAGCCCCATATATGGTGCTTATATATGAACCACGTATAGCTCCATATTCATTAAGAATGGCCAAAACATTATATGAACTGGACGGCTTCCAAATACAGTCTCCCATATATAATTTTTATTTGTACCATGTATGATACATTCCAATCAAAGCACCCCTGTATGCCCATATTTGATATCATGCATGAAATCTGAATATGGAGTTCCCGTAAGGGACGGAGTCCGGCGCCTTCGGTGAAGCCGCCCTCGCCCTTCGTTTCTCAGGCGTCCGACGATATTTCTCGGTATCGTATCAACCTATGACCTTGAAACTCTCCTCGATACTCTTAGAGACCATTAGAAGTTTTTATGCCAAATTTAGCCAATAAACATTTTCTAAGTGCTTTTTTATGGCGATCCGTAGGACTGTTCACTGTGCATGAGATCCTTCGTGGAGTTTTCTCCGCGAAAAAAATCATTCCAGACCCTTGAAACTATTTTCACGTTTTCATGAGTTTTCTGGCACACCAAAGGAGACACTTAAGTGCATTGCCCCACAATCACTCCGTTCCTCCTTGGAACCTCTCTTCCCGCAAGCGAATTTGACCGAGGTCATTTATGGATGCTAAGTCCCTTCCCAGTCTCATTCTTCAATCCCCGCGAACCTGCAAAGAAAATGATTTTGGTGCAAACTGATGAACGAACTGCTCTTAAAGTTTCTTTTTTTTTGTGGGTTTAATTTCAAAATTTTATCGGAAAGTTTAAGTTTTCTATTAAAAAAATAAACTTTTGGTACAGACTCAACTTATATAGAAACACCGAGCAGGCGTAGAAATTTTGACAGTTTCGTAGGCACCAATTTACATCAGTCTTTTTTTTTTACATTAATAATTAACTTTTTTCATTTTTATTATGCAGGGAGAGCTTCAAAGTGCAACGACAACGGTGACAGTGTCCGTGAAGAACGAAGACGACGACCCGTTCGTGTTCCAGTACTCGTTCTACAGTGTCAGCCTGAAACCCGGCCAGGTCGACCGGAACACTTTAATTCAATTTTTATAACATTTAATTTAATCAAAAGAAAAAAATTGAAAACGTCCCCGGACTTTGCCTTGGAGCAGGCGCCGGGGAAACTGGACGTAAATCCGGCCTCGGTGAACGCGACTTCGAGGGACCCGGGCGAACCGCGTTATCGACTCGAGCCCCAGAGTAAGTCTTCTCTTTGCGACTTTTTGCGCGATATTGCAGAATATTTATTATATCATGGGGTTCCTCTGCCGATCGGTACCAGCCGGAAATATATATAACTAAATCGAGTCCTGGCCATTGGCACCTTGGGACTTCAAGGGTTAAGGAGGAATCGCTTTGGCGATTCATTAAAAAATCAAACAAATGCGCCCAAATTGCTGTCATTTCCTCGATGCGGTGAGACCGGTCTTTCTGCGTTAACGTGGAAAGAAATTAGTGTCGTTGGGTGTCAGGGAAGCTTTCTGGTCGAAACCCGAGAATTTCTGGCCGTGTTTCATTTCGGGTATCAATATACAAGGAGACCTCGGACACCCACCACCAATCAGACGCAAATCGAGGAAACCGTTTTGGAAAACAGCTCGCGACCTGATGGCGTCGTCTTTCGACGCTAAAGAAGAGTGGTGGAAGGAATGGCACAACTCCACCGTGCCGAACAATTTCCTCATCAAGGATCCGACCAGAGAGCCACCGGGCTTCCACCCGCCCCGGAAATAATGGACTACGCTGAACCGACCTGAACCAACTCACGCCTGGACCGGACACCAACTGTAAAAATGGAAGTACAAAGACAATCCTGCCTGCGACTGCGGACATCCCGACCAGACCGTGGAACACATAGTGGACCATTGCGAAAAACGAAAATTCGACGGAGGACTCGCAGCGCTACACGCACTGGAAAAGGACTCCGCAACCTTGCTATCGAACTTGGACGCGAGAAGAATTTCGAGTATCGTCGAGCTTTCGGCCCTACCTTCCCAGTCTCCTTGCTTTTTTTTTTCTATAGATCGGCTTCAAATTCCCGTCAGATTCCTCGTCGTTCTTCGCCACGTGTGATACTTCGAAGATTTCCTGAAGCGCGTAACGGAAGGCGTTCCTCGCTCCAATCCTCGGGGTGGACTTAAGAGTTTGATGGAAGTGCTCGGCTGCTCTGTTCGAGGGAGCCCGTCCGAGTGCGGGGGCGGGAAGTCCCCAGTCTCCAAAGGGCATGGGAAGAAAAATGTCCTGCTCTTCCGGATTATGATGGAAGAAATCGCGCGGAGTAAAAAATAAAATTGAAGTTTACGGATGAAAGACGTGATCGATATTCTGCGATTAACAAGAGGGAGAATGAGTCGATTCGGTTCCCATCTCATTCGCAGACGTTCCCAGCGCCTCGGACTATTTCTCGCTCGATCTCGGCACCGGCGAGCTGAGTCTGACGAAGGAGCTCGACGGCTCCGTCGACGAGAGCGTCCTCTTCCTGGTCAAGGTCAGTCTCTTTCAAGGTCCGTCTGTGGCGGAGGGAAAGTGGCATAAGGCGCTTTGGTTCCAGGGGGGGGAGGGGACCAGGGAGGGCGTGGCGTCTCTCGTCGTGTATCTGCCGGATGGTGAGCCTTTTCACTCTCTATTCTCTAAGTTTCACCCTATTTTTATAATTTTCACTCTCTTTTCTCATTTACACTAAATTCTCGTTTAGTACCCCTTCCTATCATGTATCAAGGAATGGGAATCGGACCGGCTAAAAATCCTTTCAATAAATGCAAGAGAAAAGACAAGCGCGAAACGCAACGCGCCCAGCTCACCCGACCTCAAAGGGATTTTCTTCGCCCGTAGAGAAGCCGACGGAGGACGTCGAGTTCGAGTTCGAGTCCTACTCGTTCGACGTGGGGCCGGTCTCCGCCGGCGGCGAGGTTGCCCGGATCAACGTCACCTGCGGCGGATGCGATTATCAAGTCAGCATTCAAGGTTGGGTAATGTCGGCATTCGAGGTTACTTTGTCGGCATTCGAGGTTACTTTATGTCGGCATTAAGTCGAAGTTGCATTATGTTGACATTCAGGGTTGCATCAAGGAAAATGATGCATTCATTTCCCTTACGAAAATGTATCATAGGAATCCTATAGAAACATACATGAATCCTATAGGTTCCCTATAGGGCCTGTAGGGTTCCGTTTGAAGTTCTCTTCTAGGCCACTAGATGGAGGGATGGGTCTCGCATTTCTCACAGTACACTAAAGTGCCCTCTCCTTTGTCCATGGAATCATCTCTCACAGGAGTGTTTTGTACCTTCCCATATCGCCTTGCTTCATTGTAGCAATCAACAGACTTGGACATTTCCTTACATGTCATCCTCATCTTCCAGATAAATTAATGGTGTCCAGACCAGAAATATGCTCGTATTCCCTATGAGAACCACGTACGAGATAATGTGTACTCTATCTGAGAGGTGTTTCAGTAAGAAGACGATGTTCGCGGTTTCTGTCTGCCGTTTTCGTAGGCCGAGAGAATAATGATACTTCTCTCTGCCGAAGGAAGTGGACCAGTACATTCTAGTGACATATGTGGGCCTGGGCAATAAATTATGCAGACCTAGACAGTATTAGTAAAGCAAGTGCCCCAGTAATTCATTTACAGAAAAATGCTTCGCCAATATTGACCCTCGTTGCCGTTCCCGTCGTAATGCCTGGGTTTCGAAACTCAAAAAATCCTCCCCGAATCCTATAGGTCAGGAGAAATATAAGACCCTTTAGGGATCCTATGGGATCCTTCAGGTTTTTCGTGTTTCAAAAACCTGTAGGAAAGTCTATAGGAGAGGGGTGAGGGGGAGGGGGGGATCCCCCTTCGACGGGATTTTCTCGCATCCTTTGCTGTTTCTGCACGGAGAAATGGCAATAAGTAGTCGAAATCACGGGAAGGGAGGAAATGGCATGGGGAAATTGACGAGAATGAGGATTATTCCTTCCCACCTGCGTGCCTCATGAGATTCGCCGGTTTTTCGCGTATCGACGAGGAAATCGAGATTCTTGGATGGGATTTCGCTCCGACTGGGCGTTGGGGGTTTCACGCTGCCGATTGGCATCGCCAAAATTAAGTTTGGCTCTCGAGGCCCTTGCGAAAATGCCTTGTAGGATTCCAAAAGATTCCTTTAGGAATATATAGGAGTCTTATAGGTTCCTGTAGGGCCTATAGGGTTCTGTTTGGGACCTATATGTGTTCCCTATAGAACCTATAGAGTTCTCTATTGGGTCTATAAAATTTCCTACAGACCTCATAGGGCTCTTCCTCTCTTCATCCCTCAGAGACTAGGATGGTATTTCCTCTCTTCAGCCGGGCATTTCTTCTCATCGATCCGCCTTGACCTCCGGGACGAGCCTCTCATGCCCGTCTAGCGGGAACACTGGGTTCTTGGGAGACTTGGTCTTACTCGTAGAGTTCCAGCAGAAAATCGTCGAACTGGGCTTCCGTGCCCACGGGTTTGGAGGCGGATTGATTAGACGAAAACCACTAGAGCTATTGAAGAACGAGAACGTTCATTCTCCTTTGCACCGCACTGTACAAACTGAGAGAATACAGCTGTCGGTGAAAACGAAAGGATGAAGGCACCCCCCCCCCCCCCCTTATAGTTTTCCCAAGGCGAGGCGCATTACTCGCACGACTTGTATTCTCGATCAAAGTCGTCTAACTGAACATCCTTAAGGTGCAGATATTCCACCTGAACTTGCACAAAAGTTCATCTTGTTTGGGTTTACTTGCATGAGAAAGAATGCATGAAAGTTAACATGCATGAGGAAAATTAGACGGGTTCAAGTTGTACGGTATATATTATGCAAATTCATCTTGCACGGAAAGGTCAATTTGCATACGACGTATACATTATATATATATGTATTATGCTATGTATATCATATGATAGTTTTTGTATAATATATATTATACATAATACTATATATTTATATATATTAATTTAAGCATGATTGGCTGCCGACATCCCCCGTTCGCAGGACCCGACAAGGACATATTTGCCTTCGATAAGGGCACCGGGACGCTGAGCGCGAGGGAGGATCTGCTGGCGGAGGAGGCCTATACCGTCGAGCTCAGGGCCGACACGATCGACGATGTCGACATCGCGAGGGTGAGAGGAGGGCTTTTTGGATTTTGGAGGTCATTGAAGGCTCTTCGGGCTGACCGAGTCCTACGCGAGGCAGGTGGAGGTGCGAGTCACGAGCGACGGAGGCAGTGGCGGAGGAGGCAGCGGGGAGGAGGCCAGCGGCGAGGGAGGCAGCAACGTGGCGGCCATCGTCCTCGGCGTCCTCCTCGGGATCCTCATCCTCGGCGGAGGCGGAGGTTTCCTCTATTTCAGGTCGGGCCCGACCCGCCCTCTTTCGTTCTTCGAGTCAATTTCTAACGACTGATTTTCTTTCTTTCTTTCTTTTTCTTCTTCTGGCCGAAAAGCGAGATTGTGTTTCCGCTCCAGCGTGCTTGCGAGAGCGTTATTAACTTTCCTCGTGTTTCCTCCGGTTAGCATGGGCGGATCGATGTTTTTAGCAGGATCGGAATGGAAAGTTGGACGACGTGATCGGCATCACAAATTGCATGCCTCGACGATTTCCGTCCCGATTCGTGTCGTCGGGGTCGTCGGGGTCGTCGGGGTCGTCGGTCTGAGGAAGGACACTTCGCTCGCGTTTTATCTTTACCCTCAGTAAATCCCCCTCAGATAGGCAATTAGGATTTTGGTCTAACGGAGGGACAGGCTCATTTAAGACGTGAATTACGAGGATTATGAACCATTACGAGGATTATGAACCTTCACTTTAGGATCAGGTGAGCTCATTCTTAGGGAATTGCTTCGGAAATGTATCATTTTAAGATGAAGCCAGAATCCGCCCATCTTTCTCATCCGCCGGAAGAGGGGGGAGGAGGGAAGGTGGAGAGAAGGTGGGGGGAAGGTGGGGAAAGAGGAAGGTGGTGACGGTCGCTCGTGACAAGAACCCTCCAAGTGAATTTAATGGCCCACAGTCATCCAATATGAAAGTCGAAAGGATAAAAAATAAAAGTAGGCATGAAAGAAACTGTTGGATCCGTGTCGGTACCAACTCCTTCTCGTTCAGGAAAAAGAAGAAGGCGGTGGAGAAACCATTCAGTCAAGTGCAGGATTCCCTGCGGAACATGAAAGGTGCGAACGCGATGGAGAAAGGATCCGTCGCCGAGAGTCGGGAAGACTCCATTCACTCTAACGAAGGGTAATTTTTTTAATTAGTTGTTATTTAGCGTCGGGAATGCGTTCGATGAGGTGGGAATACCGTCTGTCGGCAGGTTCACCGGGGACGAGACGGCCTCGGAGCAGGAAGGATCCGACGATACTTCGGAGTGAGTTTCGTTCCTTTCCATCGGGAATGGGAGGAAATACGGCCCGGGCGAAAGCGTGGAAAACCGTTTTCGAGGTTTCCCGCTTCGGTCGGATCGTTCGTCGTCCAAGGGAAATTCGTAAGCCCGCGCTTGCACGGGAGGGTGAAAAATGCTCACGGCATTTTTGAAATGCCGTGAGCATTTTTTTCGGCATTTTGCGTGTTTAAACGTGCAGTCTGACTCGAGCCGTCACGCGATTCAGGGTTCAATTAAAATCAATCATCCTGACTCCCGCGTCGTACCAATAGTTCGGTACCGTGATTAAATCCCTCTGCCTAGTCCAGAATCCTTCTTCGGAACAGGAATCTCTTCGAAAAAAAAAGGAAGAGAAAAAAAAAAGGAAAGCAATTTCCTTTCGGGAATTGCGAGCTAGTAGACATCGCAATCGCAACGACGCAGTGAGACTCGAAGGCAATAATGCTCAGACCGCACGAACTCGCAATTTCCTTCTCGACGAAAGCGGGAGCAGCGGGCAGAACACACAGACCGACAGGATGTTTTGACAGGAAGCTCTGACAGGAAGTTCTTTCGCAGGAAGGAGGTGAAGGTCGCGACGCTCTACCCGAGCATCGGGGAGGCGAAGTTCGAGGAGGTCCCCCTCGAGACCGTCGAGGAGTCCGTCGTGAGTGTCCCCTCCCCCCCTCGCCCCCCCTCCCCCCCCCTGCCCCCTCCCCCCCTCGCCCCCTCGCCCCCCCCT